TACTGGAGATTGAACTCCAGTGCCCTCACATTCAGCTCCATATCCAGACTTTTCTTTTTTATCCTGAGACAGGGTCTCCCTAAGTCACTACACATTCCTCATCAATTGGGAAAACATTTTTTTAAAAAAATAGAATGATGGATAAGCTTAATTTTCAATTTAGGTGGCCTGGGAACCAGCCGGGGGCTTTAGTAAAACGCTTCTGGTGTATCTGGGTGGGTCAGGGCTGTTAGGTAAATAGTGAAGACCTTGAAAAAGAACATAGTGCCAGCCCAAATTTGGAATTCTAAGTGAGACCTCCCCAGAGTGGCTTTCAAAGGAAAATATGAATTAAATTTATCAAGTGCCCTTTCTATTGTCAAGCTCAGAGAAATCAGTGAAGCAAGACTAGGTGAGTGACAATGGTTACATGGCAACTGGCTGTTATAGCAAGGGCTAGGGTTTTATTTTGCCAGTGCACCTTGACCTAGGAGCACAGTCAGGCGGCTACAGGATGTAGGAATGGCTTATGATTATCCTCAGAGCTCAGGAACCTGGGAAGCTGGGAACCAACAGGGGTCAAACCTATCCTGAGTAGGGCAGGACATTGGGCACTATATTTGGTTCCTGGCCCCTTCCACTCTGGTGCTGCTCCACTGTTGGGTTCCCAACCACCACGAACTAAGCAACTTTCCTCCACTATGAATTTCCACTATGATTTAGTACTTGAACTTGACTGACCATGGACTGTAAGCTCCGAAATAATTAGCCAATGAGCCAAATTGGGTATTTTGTCCATCAACAGTTAAGGTGATTAATATGTACAGACTTTGAAATGAATAACAACAGTAGCCCAAAAATAGACTGGAGATGGTTTTTTATTAGATTTTATATAATTATGCTGGTCAAGAGAAGTTTTAAAAATAAAAAAAAAAAACACCACTACACATAAAGAAGCAATCACTTGGTAATTGCACTACAGTATTTTTTACAAATGAAGAAAAATGTATGCATGGTAATTAATAGTTACATTGCAGTAAGTGATAAATGAATTTTAATAAAATCAAAACACCTGCAAAAGGTAAAATTAACCAATTATGAAATTGCTCCATTGATATAACATTTTAATTTCTTGACTCACTCTTTAGTTTTAGAAACAACAAAACTTTGGGGAAAATTACTTCAATTTTAAAAGTAATATTCAAATTCAGGTGTATACTTCAAATATGATCTGAAGAGTGCACCTAACGTAC